AAATTTACTTCCGATGCAAAACTGCCCTCTGCCCAAGTTACCCCGTTCTCCAAGCTCTGTGTTAAGCACCAAGGGTAAGGAATATGAGCTCCTTTATTTTGGGTTGCATTGGACACACGGCTGCTGCAAAGGCATTTTAAGAACCAAGTGACTCTAAACAAACTCCCACGGCAGGTTGGCTGACCTCCTGTCCACCCTCTGCTGAACAGGGGTCTCAGCTTTTGCTCTACCACTTGCCCTGCGAACTTGAAATGAAATGCCGCCGCCACTTCAGCTCGATGTCGAATAATATTTTCAATGACTTTGTGATCGTGCTTCTGAGACCAGGGTGCACATGACCTTAGGGAGATCCAAAGCTAACATTTGCAGTCTGGTGCTGGTAGAGGAATGTGGCCTGTGGCGATGAGATGGAAATGGTTTCACCCTCTCCTCGTGGACACACAGGCAGCACATAATGGGCATTGGCCCGTCATCTGGCCCTCAACCCATTTTATTTATTTGGCTGGGATGGGGAGGGAGTGAATGAGCACAGGCTTTGGGCCAGGCTGTGGGCATTGACAAGGGCCCAGTGGTGGCCTGGCCAAGGGACCAGTCGACAGAGAAGGGCGCTGCAGGAGGCTCCCTCCAAAATGGGCCACTTTGCAGGCCAGGAGGGGCCACTACCAGTGCAGTGAGGAGTCCAGGAAGGAAAGGTGTCCCCGGAGCTCGGTGGCTCCCTGCAACTAGGCCTATGACCTCTGGGGCCTCCACATTTGCATGTAAAAGCCGTTATGGAAATGTAATCTTCTTTGAAGGCAGGGCTCTATTCAAAGCAGACTGCCCTCTCAGCAAAGTGACAGGGACCACAGCCCAGTGACAATCCTCCCAGAGAGGCAGAGGGGACCAGGGAGGTGAGGGAAGTCAAGCTCTGCTGCCCGGGAAAATCTTTGAAGTGTATGGAGGCCTCACCTAATCAAACTCACTTTCGGAGGTTTGAAGCATTTCATTAAATCGAGGCTTAGCTGCTTTTCAGGTAGAGTTGACTTGGTTTAAGGGAGTTTCAGGGACTGAACTTGATAGTTTCCATTTTCAACTTTCTTAATTGAAAGGCATAAATACGGTTACCATGTTTTCTGAATCCAAATTGAGTTTAACACTAGACTGTCCCCTAAAATACACGGAATATTACCATGGTCTGCAGAAGGCTGTGGCCTGTTTGGAAGGTTCAAGACAACAGATAGGAAAAGAAGGAGATGCATGAGTTGGATGGCGACTTGCGGTCTCCTCTAAAGCAATGCAACTCTTTATTTAGGGGTCTCCAGCAACACTGAGGCTGGAGGCACCAGGAGAGAGAAAACACACGACATGAAATATAAAATTTCATCATCTTCAAGCATCACCTGGATGTAGAATGAATCAAGTGGCTATTCATTTCCCCCCAAAACTAGGTCCCAATGACTTTGAGTTTGGGAAGGTAATGTAATGGAAAGTTCCTGCAGCTATCTGGCTTTGGCCATAACTCTTAGTGTAAGGGACCCTGTCAGATGAGTGAGGTGACCCTCATTCTGGACGTGGGGAAACAAGCCTACTAGGCCTTTCGTGCTCATCAATTCAAATCAGCATCATTCACTGAGCGCAGGAGAACAGCACAGCCGGCTCCCAGGGCACATGGGGCAGGACTCAGTCTCTCTGGCACAAGGGAGGCCCTAAGTTTCCCCTTTCACTGAACCTGAAAAACCACCGACTACTCCCAGCTCCCTGGGTCACGAGCAGGCTGGGGGTGATGATAAAATGACACAGCTCTAGATCACCTAAACTGGGACAATTAGGACTCTTCTCTCCAAGTTACAGTGGACTCGGGATGACAGAGGCTGGAAAATGAAGTTTGTGGGGATGACGCCCAGCCCTCTCCCCGTGGCCTTGGTCCCAAGAGCCAGTGTTCCTCTTACTGGATAACCGCCTCCCTTCCCCTCCCTTTAATTCCTGTGCGTTGTTTCAGTCACCGCCGGCACCTCCGACATTAAGTGGGTCGAGGGGAGGTTAAAAACTGGCACCTGCAACATTCTGCATCCTTTTAAGAGCCCAGGGGAAGAAGGGGTTAAAACAAATGTCGATAATAAATTTTAAAATAAGCACGGACTTAAGTTAGCCAGCATAGGTACTGTCCAGGCTGGGGCAGGTAACATAGCGGCGACACATGGTCTCCTATTCTGGGGCCGGTCTCACTGGCACAAACTGGCCACGTGTCCTGGGAAGACATTTCAGATTGGACACAGCCCGCCCCCCCCCAAGTAAGCCCCCTGGGGCAAGTGACAGGAAGCCTTTTTTTTTTTTCCCTGAGGATCATAAACTATTGGAAAAATACAATCAAAGTCTACAGAACACTAAATACAAACTTAGTTTTTTCCAGAAAATTTAAAAAGTCCCATATACCAGGTTTGTAAATTAGGAGCCGCAGATATAAGAAACCCCTAAAGATAAGAAGTTCTAAATCTCTAACTGGTTTACGGCTTAGGAGGCTGGGAAGAAAAGAATTGAAAATCATGTTATAATGAAGATCCAGGGCAGTCCCTGGGCAGTAAGGAACCTGAGGGGGAGTGACTTGGCCCCAGAGGCTGCAGCAGCGGAAATCAGAGCAGGGGCCCAGGGTGGCTCACCTAAGATAATGGCCTTTGCACGCACTTTACCTCGCAGGAGGTGGCCTTGAGGCAGAGGAGGGTGAGAGAGGTCTAACGCCCCAGAAGAGGCTAGAGGTAAACATGGGCGCAACCGAGAGGGGGTGCAAACAGATGAGAATTTGGGGGAGTAGGGCAGCGGTGACAGAGGACGCCTGAGCCCACAGTCACGCCTTCATTCAAAGTATTCGCTTAATACAGGCTCATCCCAATAAGCTACGGCTACCCTTTCAATTGTTCAACTAAGTCTTACATCTTGAGTCGGCTCCCACGGCTGAAACGGGGGCGAGAGAACGATCCTGCCGGTTTCTGGCAAAAGCAATTATACCTGTGGGCTGAAAGATATCAAGCTGAGAACCACAGGGGCCCAAGCCCTAAGGCAGACATCACGAGGACATCTGGCCGCGGGTTCAGTTCTAAGCAAAATACCGCTTCCAGCTGCTGCAGCGGCGGCTCGTTGGTAGGCGGCAAGCCACAGCGTGGGGCCTTTCGCAGTCCACATCTGCTACGCATAAGGATCAGTCAATAATTTTCTAAACCACCACGTTGGCAAGTTTTCTATAACAGGTTATTAACTTTTCAAAGAGAGGACTTTGCGCTGGTTCCACCCAGCTGTCTTCTAATTCGCCAGACGTTTGTTTAGTGTGATAACATCTGACCACCCTTCAACAAGATACTTGACTTTTCTTGGCTTCCTGAGCTAAACTACTGTGGTTCAAGGTGGGTTCTATTTAATGGAGAAACTAACTGGCATGTCATTCCCACGACACTCAAAAAGCACAACATTCTTCCCAGGCAGTTGTCCTAAAGTTAGCAGAGTTGTGAGGCAGGCAATAGGGGGGTCTCCTAAGGTGTGGAAAAAGGCATCATCTCACCCTTTTATTTCTCCCAAAGTGCCGTCTGTCTCCTTTGCACCCATCTCATTTATCAGCTTAAGTTAAGAACCAGTGCTGGGAGAGAGATGTCCTGACGAACCACCTTCCCACTCTCATGGATTTAACCAGCTTTAAATGCCTGACTTTGTGTGCTTCTCTGCCAGTGACAAGACTGGCAGCCTGGGATGTGCCAAGTTCTTGGCTCTAAATTGCAAAACAAAGCAGTATGGGAGGGAATTTGTGCGTTAGCTGATTTGTAAACACTGATTTACAGGTCACCGTGTAAACTCTTGTTTTTGTGCCTGTTCTCCCAGGCAGTTACCTGGGTGCCATCCTAACAGTGCCAAAGTGCACTGCTCCTCCAGTCACCAGGGTTTCCTTCCTTCACACTTAATCCCAGCTTATTTTGTACCATCTTAAAAAACCTCAAAACAAAAACTTTCATTAAACAGTAATCACAGAGCCTCTCAGTAGTTACAGTAGGAGAGTAACAGCCACTCAGAATCAGCATCAGGTCTACAGGTGTGTCCACAAGTGTCCACGGAGATGCCAACTCAGAGATTTAGACAAGAGTCCACACTTCAGTTTACAGAGGTTGGTTGAAATCTTCCCAGCATAATCTATGTCCATCCTGACTTTCTCTACAGAAAAGGAATCTGGGCGTGTGGATATTCAAGTTCTCACCTCCAACACCAATTTACTGCATCATCACACAAACCAACAACATATACTGGATCCAACTGAATGTAAGTCTGCACTGGCCGTTCTTTCACCCCTCTGCCCCCTAAAGTTGAGAAATCAGAGGCTTGGTATGGTGAGGTGGTTGGATTAGGTCCCACGGGGGAAGGGAGTGGAGTCACAATCTGAACACAGATGCACCTACTCCACAGCCTGTCTTCTCAATTATTTTGCTAAAGTAAAATAAAAATTCTACACAACAGCAGGTACTTAGACGACATCTCAAAGCCTTGGCATTTTCTCTCCAGCTAGTCCTGGAAAGGCCTTTCCTTTTAGCCTCAATGTGAATACTAATTTCCAACTTAGCAAAATCCAGGGTTGAAGTACCAATCCTCTGGTAAAAAGGGAGATGTAATTAGAAAGTTTTAATGAAATTGGAAAGAGGGAAAATACTCAAGGTTGGCTGACTTTTTAAAAATAACATTTCATAGGTCGCTGGGTGGGAAGTTCGTCACCGAGGTCAGCTAAGCTCGTTCTCGCCATGGGCAGGATGGCTTAAGTCATCCCAGAGAAAGGAAAGCCAAGCAGTTTGTAAAGATCTTACTGAATCCTACCTGCCTACCTAAGAGGCAAATGCTGAGTCGTGCCTGCTTGGCTGAGGCTCTGCAAAGTGCTCTGGACCTTTCCAGGAGAAAGGTACAGCACAGATGTAAATCAGTAACAATATAAATCAACTCAATCCCCATAAGCATAACCATCCAATCCTGAGAAAGAAACACACGAGGCCCCGGGCTACAATGCCAGTCTTCGTCAGAAAATATATTTATTATTGAGAGAGAGTGAAGTCGAGGTGTCAGAATTCATGATAGAGAAGCGGTTGTATAAGCCGAGGTTGCCTTTATGTTGATAAAAAATGCCTTATTTCACTTGTAATCATAAACATTATTCCAGTAAGAGGGACATTTTCTCTCCTTTTTATCTTCTTCCTTACATGATCGCCATAATAAGTTAAAATGAAACAGCTCTTACATAGTCAAGGGAGAAAGAAATAGAAACCCAACTCGCCACAGTCTGGACAACTCGGCCCAGCACTGCGGGCCTGAGACGGAGGCGTCCGGCCCTGTCCCCTCCCCGCTCCAACTCCCTGATCCCTGATCCCCCCGGGCTCTGCGGAGCGGAGGGTCACCAAAGATGGGGCTCAGCTAGGACAGAAAGTTGGGCAGAAAGCACGGAGGGTGGAGAGGGCTGCCTTCCCTTTGCCGCCACAGGTGGGTTACCAGCACCGCAGCGTGTCCCCCGCGGCCGACCTGACCTAGGCCCCGGCTTGCCAGTCGTCGCTGATGAAACTGCGGTGGGCTTCTGTCGCTCCGCTCTCCCGTGCTTCTCTACGGCGGTCTTCTCTTTAAATAGGTTGCTTTCTTAGGAAAAAAAGAATGTTCCCCCTCTGGAATTAACGTGGAAGGAGTTTTGCGTGTTCTGGAAGTTGGCTTTACCCTCCCTTCTCCATCTTGCTCTGCAAGAGAAACAGAAAACCGAGTGTTACCACCAGAAAATGGGGCGACTGCTTAGTACTAGGGCTACTGTCTTCCAAAGACCTACTTCGAAAACGCGCAAGGCAAGGCTGTGCCCCCGGGTCTCAAAATATCCCTGCCTTTAAAGATCCCCGCTTAGTCCTGCATGATCTCCAAAGGACGCCCCCCCCTTCAGCTGAACCCTGGGGGACACGGCGGGAACCCTAAGGTGGGGCGGGCGGGGGTGCGCCGTCTCACTCCCCCCTCCATTTGGAAATGTATGGAAGCATTTCTGGTGGCCACAGGGACTGGGGTAGGAGTGGGGTAGGACAGAGGTTAAACCCAAAGGCCCTGAGAGAAAATCTCTCACCTGGGGCAGAGCCACACAGGTATTGTCCCCGCTGCAGAAACGCCTCCTACCATCCACTTGGCTGTTTACTTTTGTGGGTGAGGAGCTGTAGACATACTTCACTGCCTAAGGCTTAAGGGGTGCAGCCTGAGGATGGATTTGCATATATTGTGAAATGATCACCACAGTAGGTTTAGCTCACACCCCCCCATCTCAGAGAGATACACCAAAAAGAAAACATCTCTCCTTGTGATGAGAACTCGTAGGATCTACTCTCTTAGCAACCTTGTCGCACACAGCAGCGGGGACCAGTCTTCACGTCGTACGTTACATCCCCAGCGCTTACTAATCTTCCCTCGAAGCCTGCACCTTTGCCCACCTTCCCCCCGTCCCCGCTTCTGGCAACCACATGTCTGACCTCTTTTTCTATGCGTCTGGCCCGTTTGTTTGTTTCAGACTCCACATGTGAGATCACATGGCATTTGTTTTCCTCTGACTTATTTCACTTAGCATGATGCCTTCAAGGTCCGTCTATGTTGTCACAAATGGTAGGATTTCCTCATTTTTTTTTAATGGCTAAATATTTTTATGCTATTGTATATACACAACTTCTTTACACCCATTCATCCATCCATGGAGCCTTGGGTCGTTTCCATGTCTTGGCCATTGTAAATAACCAGCTATGAACATGGAAGTGCAGGTATCTTCTTGAGCTAGTGTTTTTGTTTCCTTTGGGTATATACCCAGAAGTGAAACTGCTGGATCGTACGGTAGCTCTATTTTAGTTTCCTGAGGAAGCTTTGAACTGGTTTTCATAATGGCTGCACCAATTTACAATCGCAACAACAGTGTACAAGGGCCCCCTCTTCTCCCCTATATGTCAGCATTTGTTATATCCTGCCTTTTTGATGATGGTCATTCTAATAGGCATGAGGTGCTATCTCGCTGTGGTTTTAATTTGCAATTCCCTAATGACCAGTGATGCTGAGCATGTTCTCATGTACCTGTTGGCTATGCACACATCGTTTTTGGAAAAATGTCTATGCAGGTCCTTTGCCCACTTATTAAGTAATTTTTTTTCCTTTTGCTATTGTGTCAGATGAGTTCTTTATATATTTTGAATATCAACCCCTTATCAGATATATGGTTTGCAAACAGTTTCCCCCATTCCGTATGTTGTCTTTTCACTTTCTCGGTGGTTCCTCTGCTGTGCAGAAGCTTTTCAGATGATGTATTCCCACCTAATGTATTTTTTATTTTGTTGCTTGTGTTTTAGGTGTGGTTTCCAAAAAATCATTACCAAGACCCACGACAGGGAGCTTTTTCCCTATGTTTTCTTCTAGGAGTTTCATGCTTTTGGGTCTTACATTTAATTCTTCAATCCACTTCAGTTAATTTTTGTGAGTGGTGTAAGACAGGAGTCAAGTTTCATTCTTTTACCCGTGAATATCCAATTTTCCCAGCACCATTTATTGAAAAGATTGTCTTTTCTCCACTGAGTATTCTTGGCTCCCCTGTCAAATATTAGTTGACCATGCTGGGTTTATTTCTGGGCTATCAATTCTGTTCCACTGGTCTATGTGTCTGTTTTTATGTCAGTACCACACTGTTTGATTACTATAGCTTTGTGGTACAGCTTGAAATCAGACAGTGTAATGTCTCCTGCTTTCCCCTTCTTCCTCAGGATTGCTTTGACTATTGGGAATCTTTTGTGGTTCCTTGCAAATTTTAAGATTTTTTTTTATTTCTTAAAAAAAAATGCCATGGGAATTCTGTTAGGGATTGCACTGAATCTATAGATGGCTTTTAGAAGTATTGACATTTTAACAAATTTAATTCTCCTAATCCATGAACTCAAGACATCTTTCCATTTATTTGTGTTTTTTATTTCTTTCATCAATGAGTTATAGTTTTCAGAATAGAGATCTTTCTTCTCCTTGGTGAAAATAAATTTATTCCTAAGTATTTTATTTTTTAATGGGATTATTAAAAATGGGATCAATCTCTATATAAATGGGATCAATCTCTTTTTCAGAAAATTCATTGTTAGTGTGCAGAAAACATTACCAATTTTTGTATGTTAACTTTGTATCCTGCACCGTTACTGAATTCGGCAATTAGTTCTAGTGTGTTTTTATGAGTTTTTAGGATTTTCTATATATAAAATCCTAGCGAGAAGAATCCTTAATTATCAGATAAAAACTCTAGAACCAGCTGGAGCGGGGTACACTGCCTCCATTCTAGGAATCTTTAAAAAGACAAGAGTGACCCTTTCCCCTTTAGTTTTGAAATTAGGAAGAGGAGGCTGGGGGTGGGGTGGGCGCAGGTCGCCTCTAATCTGTTCACGCCTTCTTCCTGCCACCCCTCACCCTTCCAGCCACTGATTTCACCCAGCACTTAACTGAGCTCCTACCAGGTACTCGCTGTAATTACTCAGGTGCTATGGGGAAACCAATACACATGCTCACGGAAAACCAAGGCATGACTCAGTAATAACCTGTGATTTTTAAATATACTTGCTAAATATGTGCTAAAATTATTTTACTGAATAAGTACACACAGTATAAAATTCAAGAACAAAAGAGGAAATAGTAAATGTAACTTTTTCCTTCCTGTTTCCCAGTTTCCCGTGTACTCTTCCAGGAGAGAGTGGTCCTGCCTGGCTCAGAAGACAGCGCTGCAGCTGGAGGGTCAGAAGGCTCCTCAGTGACCCTCCACTAGGACAGAATGCAGGGGAAAACCAGGGGTAGGGGTGGGGACAGGCGAGGCTGGGGGGCACTGAGAAGACTCAAGAGGTGGGAACAAGCCCAGTATGTACGGACGGTGGAGGAAAGAGACAGGCCTGGCTGGAGGAAAGGGTGGGCGCTCAGGATGTACCAGAAAGAGGCAAGGGGGGCCCCGACCCGTGAGTGCCGGGCTGAGAAATGGCCTGCTGCCTACGGGAACGTCGTGAGGAAGGCTCTCCTGACACCCTTAGCATAATGGGTCCCACGGAGGAGAGTCTGGAGGCAGAAAGACCAGGGAGGAGGCAGATTAGGAACCAAGCAAAGGTGGGCGGGGGGGAACAGGGCCACAAAAACACGGGAAGGAAAAGTGATGGTGAGACCCAAGGCTTGGTGGACCCTCGGTGACAGGGAGAATGGTGGTGTCACCGAGAGAAAAAGGGAAGTCAGTGAGAGGAGGCACACCGAACATGAGGACAAGGGTTCCAACTTGGGGGTAGTGGAGCTGGGGCGATGCTGAAACATCCCAGAGGGAAATGTCTAGAACGAAGCTGCAGGCTCAGAAGAGGTCGAAGGTCTTTAAAGGTTTAAGGTCAAAGAAAAAAGTGAAATAAAGGGGCAGAACAGAAAGAGCGGAAGGACAAATAGGCGTGTTGGGTCCCAGAGCACAGGACGGGTAGGTTATCCTAAAGATCCTACTGCAGTATCCATGATTACAGGTTTCTAAGAAGTCTGCGCCCACAGGGTGCAAAAGAACAGAGTGAAAGGCAGGCAAGCAGTGTGCAGGGGCGCACGCAGAGCCGGCTGGAGAGCCAGCAAGAAGGGGGCGCGCCCGGAGGAGCAGGCCGCGCTGTGCGGCTAAGCCCAGGCGGAGAGGCCCTCTCACCCCGCCCCTCACATTAGCTCTGTGCTCCCCGGGAAAACTAAACATTCAGCACCTACCATGAAGAACCAGACCTGGCAATGTCACAGCGCCTCATTTATCCCCCCGCCTCACCCCCTTGGGGCTTGATCTGTGTGCAAGTCTCTCCAACTACATGGACTGGGAACTATAAGCTCATATATGTAGACACCCTCGCCGCCACACTGCAGAGTAATACAAAACGGAAGTCGGCAGAAAGCGGGTCTATACTGAGCCCATCTAAAGGCATTTAGTTATTAATGAAAGTGGTCACTTTATGAGTGAAGCCATTTTGGACTTTGGGGGTCATATACTCACTACTTCCTTCAACACGCCAATGGGAACTTTAAGCTGTGAGCTGCCTGGTCAAGATTACGTGGCTGTGCCGCGTTCTATGGTTTAGACCTTAAGATTATAGCGATAGCCACATGACAATCGACAAGAGAAAAATTTTGATTTGTCCTGAATTAAATCACAGCGGGCTGGGAGTGAGAGATGAGCGTGTTCACCAGCTCACAGCTGCGGGTCAGCTAACAGTGGACCCTCACGTTCCTGAGTGTAGGGTGGAGCCCTGAATCGGCTTCTGGAGCGACCACCGGACACCTCCATCCTGCACGTGGGTGCACTCCCAGGACTGGGCCCACAACCAATCAAAAGTAGTAAATATTTCCTCTTCAGACTGTGCAGAGCCCCACTTCATCCTTTCCCGTCCCCCTTATCTGTAGTCAATACAAATTCTTTCTAAACAAATTACACCTCTCTTCCCCCAAACACCATGAGTATATAAAAGGGCCCATCAGCTCCAGGACAGTGGACTCGCCTTGTCTTCTCCATCCAGCCATGCTACGGCTGGTGCAGACCTCAAGCCCCAGGGCAGGTGCTTTTCTGGCTAGCATCTGGCTCAATAAACCCTTGCTTTTATCAATAAACTTCTCCTTTTGGCCATGAAAGTTGTTGTGTTTTTTTTTTTTATTAAACACAATGTACCACTTTTCAACAGTTGCAAAATAATCAGCCGTGAGCCCAACA